AAAAACCAAAACTTAAACTAAACGAGTATCGTCTTGTGAAAATCAATTTCACTATCTATTTAAAAGTCAAAACTCAAAAACCTGAAATTACTTTTCTACTCGATAAAGAGAATTTTTATCTACTTCAAAATTATACCTGGACTTGTTTTAAAATTGGAAATACATATTATATTTATACAACAAAAATAAAAAAAACCTTTACTATTCATAGTTTGATTCATCCAGAATTTAAAATAATTGACCATATTAACAGGAATGGTCTTAATAACAGAAGATGTAATTTAAGAGAAACAAACAAAAAAAGAAAATACATTAAATTGTAAATTAAGTAAAAACAATACATCAGGTTTTAATGGAATCTATTTTGTTAAATCTCAGAATTATTAGAGATTTAAATAGTATGAGAATAATAAGGTTAGAACAAAATATTTTTATATTACAAAGAGCAGAACCTCAGAACAAGCTAAGCAACAATATATCGAATTTAAATTAGTTCACGATAAAAAAACTGGCAACAGAAATGGTTATTCTGTAATTTTTAGTTTATTTATATTTTATTGTTTTTCGATTATATTATACTTTAAATTTTCAATAAATTATAATTGTTATTTATAATATAAACATAATACACTCTCTGTCAAATTTTGAAAATACAAAAAAAAAGTAAATATAGTCCAAAATAAATCGTGATAATATTTACAAAAAGTATTTCTACAACTCTAATTCTCTTTATCTCCGTGAAATTTACATATGGGATTACGAAAATAGGAAACAAAAATTTTCTGTAAATAATTTTAATATAGTGAAAAACAATAGGCATATTGAAAAAATTATAAAATTTCAACAAATTCACAATATTTCTCATATATTAATTATTGAATCGAAACAATGTTCCAATATTATTAAATAAACTAAAAATATAATTTGAAATAAAATCTTCAAATTCTTTGATATTTGCAGCTTTATAATAATCTTTTTTGTCTTCACAGTCTCTCAAAACAATTCTTAATGCGGTATTCAATTGCGTTAGATTCTCATTTGCTGCACAAATCTGATTATTATCTGTTTCAAGTAGATCCTTTTCAGTTACAAGTTCTTTAACTCTATTTCTTAAATGTGTATTATCACAAATTATTTCGTCTTTATCGAGATTTAAAGCGTGTATTCTTTGTTCTAATTCATAAACTTTTATTGTTAATCTGGAGTTTTCTGCAATTACTATTTCACTTTCTGTAATTCTCGATTCTATTTTTTGTTAAAACTCATTTTTCATGATCTCAATTTATTTTTATACTCTATTTCAAAAAAGAATTTCAAAATACGAATTAAAATAAATGAGAGTAAAAAATTATCTCCATATGATGTATTTATGAAAACAAATATACAAGATGTGCTTCAATGTGGAAAGAAACAAAAAAAGATCAAATAGTTTATTATTAATGATATATTTCTTTTTTTTATTTAATAAATATTATATTAAAACTAAATTGAAGGGGGCCGATCACACAACTCTTTCTGACAATCACTTGTACCAAATTTTCTCTACAAACAACTTGCGTTTTT